CTTTTAAGAAAAAAAGATTATCAAGGTCTTATGTACCAAATAGTGCCTTTTAGAAACATACCATCCCTCTACCCTCAAGCAATTAGGGGTCAACTCAATATAAAATAAATTTTCTGTCCATTATACTTAATGTTTTAAAGATATTAGTTTCTCATGAAATGCATTACTATTTGTCTTATTAATTATGGTGCTATTGCTATCGATTCTGTTGGTTCTGAGTTGTTATCATTGTGGTTTCCAGTATTAAGTGGAATGAGTGACTTGCTATGAATGTCTCTGATTTGGTTCTGTCAATTGATCCTCTTCACCCCCAGCCCCTCCCCTAACCCTTGGTCACTAAAGGCCTTAGAGAGTTCTGTGTCCAAGACATATTAAGAGGAACTCTAAGGCACTACACATCAAACCTGGGGTATAAAAATTAGTTTCTGGGTTTTAGGGAAAGGATCCTGTTACCGTAGAGACGTAAACCAGCTTCCTCTCTTCCTTGGATATATTGCACAATCTCTTGCTACTCACGTGTGGTCCCCAGAGCTGCAGCAATGGCATCAGTCGGGGGCTTATCAGAAATGCATTGGTATAAAGGGCACAGCAACATGAAAACAGGGCAAAGACACCTGCCATTGCTGGAGAAAGGACTCCCAGGGTAAAGAAGACATGATAAGAAAAGTTCACTTGGCCTAACTGGTTTGGCTCAGTGGATAGAGCGTTGGCCTGTGGACTCAAGGGTCCCGGTTTTGATTCCGGTCAAGGTCATGTACCTTGGTTGTGGGCACATCCCCAGTGGGGAATATGTAAGAGGAAGCTGATCGATGTTTCTGATTCTCTATTCCTCTCTGTAAAAAAATCAATAAAATATATTTTAAAAAAAGAAAGAATTTTTTTTAAAAAGAAAGAAAAGTTCACTTGGCTGCTGGCAGTATATCTCAAGCCTATGACTGCAATTTAAGAAGGGCAATGCATAAATAAACACAATGAGCCAAATATGGCTGGTTAGAGACACACTTCCCCATTCTAGTGGACTTCATGCCTTACGGAGACATCTCACATGTCACACATGGATGCCTACAAACAAAGGTGTCCTTTGCTGCCACCAAGCAAGCAGGAAGGACTCACCAAGCCATGATGCACGAAATGCTAAGCCCAAATAAAGTCCTCCCTGGTGTTTTCTGGAACCTGGGATAATGTTTGGGTAATGGAGAGTGATGAGGGTTTTTCTTTACCTTAATATGAAGCCTCTTGGCCCCCAGCACTTCCCACAGCATGGACACTGGAGTGGCCAGGGGGTAGCCCAGAAGGGGGTGGGTGATTCGGGGCTGCAGAGATACACTGAGAGGTGTGACCGCACAGTTGAGCAAATGGAGACAGCCAACCAGGTTCGATTCCTGGCTCTGCCACATACTAGCTGATGCTGGGTGAATTACTTAATTCTCTGTGTCTCCGTTTCTTTATCTGTAATATTAGGGATGGGTAATAGCACTACTTTACAGGGTTGCTGTCAAGATTGCATGAGTGTTTACACGTAAGTGCTTAGACCAGGAATGACAAATAGTACATACCCAATAAGTGGAAACAAACAGAAAAAAAACACATCCGGAGGCCAACATGCAGCACAGTCCCTGCCCCACAGTAGGCATCCGGGTGTCTATTCGGTGCCTGTGGGATGTGTCGATGTATTGCCCCTCCACTTCAAAGTCATCCTACTGGCCAGTTCTGTGAAATTAAAATGAAGATGGGCCCCTGAAAGACGTTTCCTTCGCCAGCTGTCGTGCCGTTGCACTTTGTCGGCAGAGGGCGCTAGAGAGACATTGCAGGGAGAGGGTTTTCCTGGCTCAAGCAAGGGCACTTCTCTAGCACCAGGCTCTGGAGAGCACAGCAGCCAGCAGCGCCCCCTCCCGGTGGCTTCGGAGCCGAGCGCCTCCACTGAGACAACTCCGTGGGAAAAACTTCCCCCTGCAAACTGGAGGGCTGACCAAGTGATTTTTTTCACCTTAAGGCGAGCCATGGCTGTGCCGTCTCCAAGGCCTGGAGCTCAGTCGGTAAGCTAAAGGGTGCAGGATCCCTCCCTTGAAAACTGTGCAGAACAACTTCTGAGCACAAATGTGTATTCTTGGGAACCCTCCCTAGTGAGTCTCCTGTGGTTAAAACAAACAAAAGCTACTTTTCTTTAAGGATGCAAACAGCGCATCTCCAGCCAGTATCTGTGCAGTGAGGAGCCATCCTACCCTGAGGCAGTGGATTGCCAGTCAGAAGGAATCCCCAGCCTGCACCTGGTGGACACAGCCAGGCCCACAAACCTGAGACCGTGGCTCTAAGTAATCTGGCTCAGGGCCCGAGAGTGCAGGAGAGACATTTTTATGGGCTCAACATTGAGTTCTGGGAGCCGGTAGCTGTGTCAGCGGGTGTGGAGTATGCCCTCTTGTCTTTGGGTGGAATCCAAGGCTTTTAACTGTGGGCAAGTCGGCTGTTTCCTGATTGATGCCGAACACTTTGGGAATGCCAATCACTGGGCCATCACACCAGAGTGGCCATTAAAGAGACCATTAAGATAAGGGAACAGTTAATGCCTAGAGGAACAACATGTATTTCCCTGTGTCCCAAACTGGCGCAGGCCACTTCCCTCTTCCCTCCCCCAGCCTGGACAATGGCCAAGGCCACTCAGTGTCCCTCCCTCCTTCCCCCCGCTCCCTCCCGGGCCTTCCCCAGCCTGCCCAGCTGAATCCCCGCCGGCCTCCACAGGGCACCTGCGACACAGACACTGACGTTGGCCATGGGAAGCAGTGGGGCTGCCCCTCTCAGCTGGTCTCAGGCCTCCCCTCCATATTTTAACCCATCACTTACTTTGAAAGGGCAGAGGTGAGGGCTTCTCAGACAACGTGATTTTCCTCAGCCCAAACGGCCTTAGGGAAAGCCCTGAGATTAACCCAAGAAGCTACTGTCGTGTCTCCTCGGCTCCCTTTCTTTCTTTCATCACCACTGTTCCTTTGCTTTAAAAAATAAGTAAATTTGCCCTAACCGGTTTGGCTCTGTGGATTGAGCATCGGCCTGCGGACTGAAGGGGCCCAGGGTCAATTCTGGTCAAGGGCATGAACCTTGGTTGCGGGCACATACCCAGTGGGGAGTGTGCAGGAGGCAGCTGATCGATGTTTCTCTTTCATTGATGTTTCTAATGCTCTATCCCTCTCCTTACTCTCTGTAAAAAAAAAAAAAATCAATAAAAATATATTTTAAAAAATAATAAGTACATGTAATAAAAATTTAAAAATAATTTCTTATTGATTTAAGAGAGGTAGGGAGAGATGGAAACATCAATGACGACAGAGAATCATTGACCTGCTACCTCCTGCACACCCCACACTGGGGATCGAGCCCACAACCCACCCAACCGGGAATGGAACCATGACCTCTTGGTTCATAGGTCGACACTCAACCACTGAGCCATGCTGGCCGGGCACCACTGTTCCTTTTCAAACACCTCTGTGTGCTCCTGTCCCCCCTCTCTGCCAGGACTCAGTCCCTGGGACCCTGGGCCTTGGGCCTGGCAGGGCTTCTCATTGCCCTGTGCTCTCCGCCTGCCCTCCCTCCCCGGTCCTGCAGGCGGTGCGGCCCCTGCTGCTGTGGGGACAGCTGGAACCCGGTCAGGAGGCTGAAGGGAGATACTTATGTGAATAAACATTTGCCAAAACGCACTAGTTGAGATAAAGCCTCAGCAGGCAGACCTTTGAGAAACAGTGAAAGGGAGCCCTGAAATTTCAATGGTGAATTTTTCTGAAAATTTTTACAGAAACATATGAAAACAGTTTGTCTTTGTCTTGATAAAATAGACTGATAGGAATGAAGAAGAGATTGATCGGATTTTTCCTGTGCTCGGTAACATACATCCAGAGCACAGTGCACCTCATTGGAGACCCCAGACATAGGCCACCAGGAAGCAGCAGTGCATTGTGGCCAGATCTGATTGTTCAAGAGGAGATTTAAAATCCAATTTGCATACCTGTATGTGTGAGGAGTGGGTGTGAAATTGGTCTGTTGGCTTTTACATTTTCAAAAGCTGGTCAAATAAAACTCATACTTCACGTCTGGTCTGGATTTAGAGAATCTTTGCAGGGTAAAGTTTCAGAGAAGGAGATGGGGACAAAAGCGAGAGCTCAGTCAAGCTTTAAGCACCTATGTTTGGGTTTCCTAAACACAGTAGAAAAGATCGCCTCCAGTCCGAACGCAGTTATCATCTCCATCTATGTGTCAGTAGCTCACTGCTTAAGTTCTCTTGGTTATAATTTGTATAGGTCAATCTCCCACACCCCCCCCCTTTTAAAAAAATAATTTTTATTGATTTCAGAGAATAGGGGAGAGGGAGAGAGAGATTGAAACATCAATTATGAGAATCATTGATTGGCTGCCTCTTGCATGCCCCCTACTGGGGGTTGAGCCCGCAACCCGAGCATGTGCCCTTGACTGGAATTGAACCTCGGACTCTTCAGTCCACAGGCTGATGCTCTATCCACTGAGCCAAACCAGCTAGGGCCTGCATCCCTTTTTAAGGTCTGATTGAAGTTTTGGTTTTCAGCATCTACAGAGCTGACTGTGTCCAGAAAACTTGCAACTTCCCAAACCCTAAAGAGTCTGTCTTCTTCCAGGAACATGCACCTTGCACGCAGACAGTGTAGCAGGTTAGGGTGAGGGGGCGACGGATGAATAAGAGGGGCTCTGCCCCCAACCTCTCCCTGGGGATTTTCTAAGACTCTCTCCTCAGAAAACAAAACGCAGCTCAAAGTTGACCTCATCTACCAGGTAAGCAAATCACTAACACTCCTGTTCACATGAGGTTCCTTCCTGAACATTCTTGGAGATCGGGAATTGATCAGGAATATGCCAATCTCTTGTAGATCACTGGAAATTCCTAGCTGAAGACAGAAATGCCTGCTCCAAATTGCTGGCAGCCCCTCTATTCTGGGAGGCACCCCCCCTTCCACTGGAGGCTTGGAAGCAGGCACCCCACTTACCTGCGGAGGGGCTAAGAGCAGCCCAGGCAGCCAAGGCGAGGAGAGCGAGTCCCGTCTGCTGCATTCCTGCCTGTCCCCTGCTCAGGCAGCACCGCAGGCGAGGCTGTAAAGTCAGGAAATGAGGCTAAAGGTGTCCTTGGGTGCAGAGAACCAGCAGAAGGAAAAGGAAGCCAGGAGGCCCCGCCCGGGGAGGTGCTGGGGAACCTATTTCTCAGGTTTCTTTCCTGGCCACCAGGCTCCTTTTTAAGACCAGGCCTGTTTTCCACCGCGGGGCTCAGGCGAGGTCAGTGGCCATCTGACAGCTGGTGAGGTTATTGCGAGTTGCGGGTGTGGGCCAGTCACCTGGAAACAATTAAAAAATAAAATAAAATAGCTATCTGCAAAAACTCCTCCATGGACCTATGCATCAGAATTTGGGAGCAGGAGGCCAGGAATTTGAATTTTAGAAAGCTCCCGAGGTGATTCTGAGGGACACCTCCAAGGAGAACCATTGCATAAAGAAATCTGTTTTTAAATTGCTTGTTGAAACTAAAAGTTTCTGGGGACAAGGGTGACAAGTCATAAAAAAAACACACACCATTATCTGGTGGAAAGATACGAAACAATTCAACCCCACTCTGGTCTTGGTTTGCAGCCAAATTGCTTTTCCAGTGAAGCTTTAGGAGAAAGTTAGCACAGGTCCAGGGGCCTCTTGCCTGTGGGCGGGGCCTGTTAGGAAGGAGCCTAGAGCAGGTGTGGGAGGTAGAGCTGTTGATCAGCTCTTATCTCCTAAAAAAATGGACATAACCATGCAGCCATTCATTCATTCAGCAAAAATGTACTGAGTCCCCACCTTGCACTGGAGACAGAGTAAGAGACAGAGAGGAAGTCCCTGCTCTTCAGGAACCCAGGCTGGTGCAGGGGAAGAGAAAGAGAACCAACCATTTCAATGTTAATCCCTGTGGTAGGTTCCACCCTCTGTGTTCCTCCGGTGAGTCTGATTACTCTCTGGAAGTGGGGAAAACCAAGACAACCACTCTTTCAGGTCCTCAGCCGGGTCTTTGTCTTGCCTGGGATTGAGGCTTCCTAGCACCCAAGGCCTCAAATTGCAGGCTTCCATTGCATTAAAATTAGGAAGGCAGTTCCCAAGCTGTGTGCCGAGGAACCCCAGGTCTCCAAAACGAACTGCTAGGGGGCTGTGGCCTAGGCTAAATGAGTGAGGGAAACACAGGGACAGCTGTTGGACACCACACAGCTACTCCCAGTAGGTCATCTGGATCTAACTAGATAACAGGAATTAGCTGCTATTTCTTTTGGCGGCGTGGTGCCGTGAAAAATCACTGAGACATTAAGAACACCAACTGCCAGCCAAACGTTTGGGAACCTCTGCAGTACCTCACCTATCAGTTTTCCTGACACTTCCTTATGGCTTTCTCCCCAAAGGGAACACACGCAGTTTGAGTCCTTCTTCCTCTGGGCAAGGCCTTATACCCCCGGGCCTCCTGGAGGGATTTCTCGGGGGGCTGCAGAGGGCACCCTAGGGTGGGCACCGGATCCCCTCTCTCCCCACAGCCTTCTCGCCCACCACTCCGGGCTCAGTGCTCCCTCCCCCGGGGTCTGGCACCTCCCCAGGGAAGTCATTCTCAGTCCTCCCCAGGCCTCTGGGAGGATTTTGCATCCTGTCCTTTCCCCCTAAGGCCAGTTATGGCTGCTCAGCACCAGGTGGAGATGTTGGGGAGGCTGCGGTCAGCTCAACACGCCAAGATTAATTTCCATTTGCATCCCTGGTGAGAGGAGAAAGCCCTGTCTGCTCACTAACTTCTCTTTGCACTGGCTTCTTGGTAACTAATATTCTGGGGCTGCTGTGCTAAAATAGCACTGAGCATTCCACATGAACTCATGATAAGTGGTAAATGCCCAGAGGTGTTCTAACTGTGAGGCTTCTCCCCGGCCTCTGTGACGGGGTGGGGCTGGAGGAGCTGAATGAGGATGGGAAGGGAAAAGCGTTTAGCCCTGCCCCACATCACACTGTGGGACCACAGACCGGAGGCTGCAGAAGGCTGTGCGGAGGGAGCCCTCACTCTTCCCTGGAGACTGGGCTGGGACAGCACATATTGGAGTTGGGTCTTGAATGGAGAGGTAGAGCGACCCAGAGTCTTGTCCACCCTTAGAACATTCGTCTTTAATAGGAGGCCTGCTGCCCTAACTGGTTTGGCTCAGTGGATTGAGCATCAGCCTGCGGACTCAATGGTCCCAGGTTCGATTCTGGTCAAGGGCATGTACCTTGGTTGCGGGCACATCCCCAGTGGGGGGTGTGCAGGAGGCAGCTGATCGATGTTTCTCTCTCATCGATGTTTCTAGTTCTCTATCCCTCTCCCTTCCTCTCTGTAGAAAATCAATACAGTATACTTAAAAAAAAAATAGGAGGCCTGCTACATAGGAACACATTAAACATTTGTTCAGTGGCTGACTGAGCCAGTGTTAGGTGAGGGCGAGTATTATATTCATTTTCATCCAAAGGAACTATGAATGTTTAATTGACAATGTTTTATGAATTTAAATTTTTATTTTTTTATGGAGAATAGAAAAAGGGTTTGTATAAAGATTCAATAGTTCTATATGGAGAAGATAGAAGAGAAATACAACTATATGTGTTAATAGCACAGGGTTGGGGGGGCGGGGGGAAGAAGGACATTAAGATCCCAAGATTAAACTTAACTCTGACAAGGTGAGTTGGAGGTCATTGCCAGGAATTCGAGGAGCCCACCATTACTGGGACCAGGAGCAGGGATTCTAGGAAGTGAGAGTGGGAAGGGAATCTTGGGCAACATCTGCCCTCTTTCTCATCAGCTCAGAAAGGGTGAGTGACTTGTCCAGACACCTGGGCTAGATTCCGGTCCAGTGCACAGGAGTCTACAGAGCAGTCTTGGGTATGTGGGGTGAGGGGTGGCTTGCCAGCCCATATTAAACAAACAAAACCACCACCAACAAAATAAAAAGTAAAAACAAGGGTCAACAGAATAATGGCCCCCAAAGATCTCCACACCCCGGTCCCTGGAACCTGGGGATGTGTGGCCTCACCGAGCAACAGCGGCTTTGTCACTGTGGCTAGGAACATGGAGATGCGGCGTTTATCCTGGTTGTCCAGGTGAGCCCAACCAATCACAGGGTCCTTCAGTCAGAGAACCTTCCCCAGCGGTGGTCGGCGGGAGACGGGGGAGGTGCAGTGTGAAAGGAAGCGGGGCCTGTTAGGAATGAGGTGGGATGAGGGGCCACACGACCAGGAATGCAGGGGCCTCTGGAAGCTGAGAGACACTCTGCCCTGGAACCAGCCCTGCTGATGCCTGATTCTGACCCACTGAGACCCGTGTTGGATTTCAAATATAAAGATAATACATGTGTCTTGTTTTAAACCACTGAGTTTATGGTGATTTGTTACAGCAGTAAAAGCAGGGTGATACAGGACACACACACACACACTGTAACCTCGAAGCGGGCCAAACAGCTTCCCCTCTCCCTTCCATCCTTTCTTCTCACTCTTTTGTAGTATGTTGGCCTGTTCGAAGCCCCCCTGCGGTTATTTTAATCCCATTTCACCTGGATGGATGTGTCGGGATGGGAGCCTGAGGCTGGCTGAGTGACTTGCTCTGGGCCTCAGGGCCTAGGAGTGGCAGAGCCCTTTCCAGGACTGGCCCCGGGAGCGTGCCACTCTTCGTGAGGCCAGATTGACCAACAGCAGCCCTGTGCCAACCCACTCAGAATCCAGGGAAACGTCAGCCAAGAAACCAGGCCGGACACTGAGGCCATTGTTACAGCCGGGCAAACAGCCTGAGGTCAAGGAAGAGGGAAGCGTGGTGTGTACTCATGGCTCTCCACGGCCTCACAGCCTACAACGTCCTCACAGCAGGGGCTCAGGATACTTGAAAAAGCTCCAGCCACTCCCTGTGATTGTGTGCAATGGCTGCAGGCAGCTGGGTAAGACCACTGACATTTACAGACCTTACCCTCTCTGTTATGTCACACTATCCGCGTTTTATACACTATTTAGCGTCACCCGAACATTTAGGGAAAATTTTCTCCCTGCCTTCGCTCTATGTGATTGGGTGGTATCACTGACCTGGAGCCTTGGGGGGAAGGGGAGGGGGCGGGAGTGTTTCTAATGAAATCAAATCAGTATTAGGTGAGTACAGGTGTGTGAATTCAGGGGGTGTTTTCTTTGAAAACACATAGATGTCTGAGGAAGATCAGAGTATGTGTTCAGGTGATTATGGAGCCGATGGGATTGGACGGCTACCCAGACCTCTGAAGCAACATTAAAGAGTATCAACAACTCCTTGCGAGGTCAGTCAAAAGGGTCCAATGCTTCAGAAACCCTTTATTATAGTTATTCCTGGTACGTAAACAAATGTCAAGGGGACACATGTGGCAATGCCTTGGATTTATGCAAAGTAACTGTGGAGAATGATTATTTACAGGACTCTTCAGATCAGGGAAGGCTGTGAGCCTCCTGCTGGGGCTTGGATCAAATACGGGTCTTGGAATATTCCTGGAGTCTGGGGAAATAAAGTTACGTAACAGTCCAAGCCTGTGGGTCTAATGGAGGTGGTGAATCCCGTGGAAACAGAGAAGCAGGTCAACAGCTTGCAGACCCACTGGGACAGTCAGCCCCAGAGGCCACGGACAGGCCTCTGGGGAACAGTGAGTGTCAGTCAGCTGCTCACGTCAGACCAGACCTGCCCGCAGCCTGAGGACTGCACTTATTTTTTTAAAATATATTTTTAGTGATTTTAGAGAGGAAGGGAGAGGGAGAATCATTGATCGGCTGCCTCCTGCACGCCCCCTACTGGGGATGGAGCCCACAGAATCGAACCGTGACTTCCTGGTTCATAGGTTGGTGCTCACTGAGCAATACCAGTGGGGCAAGGACTGCACTTACGATAGAAAATTGGAAATACCTACTTTACAAATATGGACCCATACTGTTCCACTGCTAGTCTTTACTTTTCCATGCAGATAATTTTGCATACCATTTCAGGGGGCTACTTCACCCATTAGTATTCCACTGCTTGTGCCATCAGTTAGGTGCTAACTCTCTAGTTAAAGACTTTCAAGTGGTTTTTAGGTGTAGGTTTTTGTTGTTGTTGTTTTGTTTTTTTCATTTTAAGCAGCCAAAAAAAAGTGTTTTTCCTTTGTATATGTACCTGTTTAGTTCTTTAGAATAAATTCCTAGAGTTGGAATTTGGAATTTCTGGGTAAAATGGCTTAAAAACACATTACCAAATTCCCTCTGCAAGAAAGTATGAGTTTGTTGTCATGCCAACAATGCCCATATGCTTACA